AACTGCAATGCTGTTTGCAGTAGTGCAGAGAGCTGGCAAGTAGCACATTCTAGGTTGGTGGCTGCAAAATGTCACTGTTACTTCCTGTCACTGAACAAGCACACACCCATTTTGTGGCTCTCTAAAGATTTCTAAAGATAATGGGAATCTAATTAATAAACTCTTTCCTAAGCTCTCCATCCCAGCCCCCACTCTCTGGGTTGCCCCTTTTGTCCTTTTATACCTCAGAGAGAAATACACTAGTGAGACTGGAGTTGACAACGAGAGTTTAGGAACACAAAACCAGTAAACATACATCTTCAAATGCCTTCAAAAGTAGGGTAGAGATCTCTGGGTGAAGGGAAAGAAAGTGTAGGAGATGGAAATTTATTTGAATCTTTGAAAGGGAGAAGGAGAGGGAAGGTTTGAGGGGAGGAGAGGGAGGTGTCTGAGCCCAGGGCTCACCCACACTCTTCCTAAGCAAAGGACTTGCTCCTTTGCCACCACAAGATGTGATACATGGGGGCAGTGGTAATGGTTAGGATATAGAAGGAAAGAGTGTGGGGCTGTAGTGAGGTCATACAGATGAGCTGTGATGAATGAATTTTGGCAATGACAGCTAGGAGGGAGTCCAGAGAATAACCTGAATGTTTCTTTGCCAGTATACACAAAGCTGCAGGCCTGAAGTTCCAGTTACACAGGAGGTTGAGGCAGGAGGATCACTTGAACTCAGAAGTTCAAGATCATCATGGGTAACACAGTGAGAATGCATCTCAGAAAAACAAACAAACAAAAATGCAGACAATTCTTCAGCAGCATGAAAGCATCCAAAAAGATTTTAAAAACTCAAAGGCTTTCCAACTCTTTTTACAATCCTATCATAACCGACCTCAAATCTGATAGACCTAGTAAATACAAAGGGAAAATGGTAACATCAAAATAACCACCTTGATCAGATTTAAGTGTACAGTTCAATAGTGTCACGTGCACTGATGTTGTACAATCAGTTTCCAGAACCCTCTTCATCTCTTGCATCTTAACTCTTCATGATGTAAGAAGTTCTTTGGAACTCTTTTTTTATCTTGTTGTTACACATACTCAAAGGATAAGATTACAATTTCTTTTTAAAGTTTTTTTAATGTTTATTTTTATTGATTTTGGTGCTGGGAACTGAATCCATGGCCTCATATATACTATACCTTGGAGATCTTATTTGGCTTTATTTTCTAGTCTAGAATCAAATAACATGTCATTCCATAAAACAGAACTAGTGTTCCAATGAGTCAAGCAGAGGAGGTTGGTTTTATAGACAAAGAAGTCTGAAAAAAGCAGAAACAAAAGAACGAAAAGCAAATTGGTCATTTCAAAGTTACTTTCTTTGTAAGATGGGTACAGGGAGAAAGAACAATAGGAAAATAACTGGTTGGCTAACACCAGATTATTTCAGGTCACTTTTTTTAATGAAAGGATTAAGGCAGAGGAACTTCATTATCTTGGCAGTTGAAACTGGCCTGTTTGAGAAGTTTGGCTGTTAATCACTCTAATCCTGACTTCTCAGGTCAGATAAACAGGTCAGTTTTAGGTTGGTGAGGAGGAAGTCCCATTTTGATTTTTAGCCTGGTCTGTTGGGGCCGAGTACAACACCGTTGAACAATAACACCCTACTCCACCCTCACTAGCCCCTGACTATTTTCTCTATGAATTTGACGACTCTAGACACCTTAGAAGAAGAATCACACAATTTGCTTTTCTGTGACTGTCTTATTTCATTTGGCATAGTATCCTTAGCAAGACCTCAGTTCATTTATGTAGCAGCCTATGTCAGAATTTTGTTCCTTTTGAAGGCCGAACAGGAGTCCATTATATGCATCTACTACACTTTGTATATTTGTTCATCTATCAATGAATGGGATTAAAAAAAAACTGCTTCCACTTTTTGGCTATTGTAGATAATGCTACTATGAATATCATATACACATATCTTTTTTTTTAAAAAAAAAGTATTTATTTTTTAGTTTTAGGTGGACACAATATCTTTATTTTTATGTGGTGCTGAGAATTGAACCCAGTGCCTCATGCATGCCAGGCGAGCGCGTTACAACTTGAATCACATCCCCAGCCCTACACATATCTTATTAAGACCCTGATTTCAATTCTTTGGAGCATATATTCAAAAGAGAATTTCTAAGCCCTCTGGTAGTTCAACTTTTAATTTTTTTGGTGGGCCAACATACTGTTTTCCAAAGTGGCCACACCATTTTACAACCCCAACAGTGTACAAGGGTTCCAATTTTTTCTATCCTTCCCAACTCTTTGTCATTTTCTTTTCTTTTTTTTAAGTGGTACCTTTTTTAACTATTATTTTTCTTTTCTTTTTTATAAATATTTTTTAGTTGTCAATAGACCTTTATTTAATTTTTTTATATGTGGTGCTGAGAACAGAATCCAGAGCCTCACACATGCTAGGCAAGTGTTCTATCAATAAGCCACAACTCCAACCCCAGTACTAGCTTTCTTAATGGGTATGTATTAATTTTTTAACTAGAAATATGTTTTTTTGTATGTGTTTAGAAATCAGACATACTTAAAAATGAAGAAAGTAAAACAAAAAATGGTTTTGAACATTTTGTATGTTACATTTTAAAATGCAAATGCAAAGGGTTAGTATATAAATGCACAAACTTATTAAAATTTTAATAGAAAAATGAGCAAAGGACAGGCACAGGAAGGTTGCAAGGGATGAAAAAGACATATTCATGAACTAGACAGGGATGGCAGCTGGCTAGCTCTCCTGCTCCTTCTGAAGTGGTCATAATAATAAAATCCTCATGTTCTTCTACAGTAGGGTTCTCCTCTACTCTGCAAGGATCCTAATGGTTAATGGTATAACACAAGAAAATGAAGCCTGGATAGCCAGATAAAGCATTTCCTTCCCTAAGAACAAAACCAATGATACAGTGCTCCATGGTAGTTATGAGAAAAAACTAAATTCTTAAGAAGCTCTAACAACATGGGTTAAAAGCTCTAAAAACATTTTGTTTCAGAGAGAGTGCTGGGGCCATTTTGAAGAAAAAGCAAGAATATTAAAGCATTCTTTTCAGACTGCAATGCCAGATACAAGTTACTTGTGTAAATGTTGATTATTGGACTAGTAGCTCAACAACTCAGCCAGGAAGCCCTGAAGATGTAGCAGCTCCCCCTAAAACTGTAGCAGTTTGAAAACATGGCCCCAGCTGGGCATGTTGTTGCATCCCTATAATCCCAGTGACTTGGGAGACTGAGATAGGAGGATTGCAAGTTCTAGGCCACTCTAGGCAACTTAGCAAAACTCTTGACTCAAAATTAAAGCCAGATACAGGTGATAAGGGGAAGTTGGGGGTATAGCTCAGTGATAAAATGCCCCTGGGTTCAATCCCCAGTATCTCCCATATTCTCTCTCTCTCTCTCTCTCTCTCTCTCTCTCTCTCTCTCTCACACACACACACACACACACACACACACACACACAAAAGAAAGAGAGAGAAAGAAAGAAGAAAGCATCCCTCTAGAACACTGTAAAACACCTCGCATTGAGGTGGGTTTGTGTGATCTGTCTTCTCCTGTAAACTTAGGTGGGCTTATGAATTGGCCAATGGAGTACAGAAGATGTGATCCTGTATGATTTCAAAGAACTATATTTTACAAGACCACACATCTTCTGCTAATTTTCTTGTATGGCTTACCCTCCAGAGCGTACTCACGCTGTCCCGCTGGAACACAGACACTATGCTGTAAAAAGACAGGCTATGAAAAGGACAAGTCTCAATTCACTGTTGTGTCCCCACTGAGCCCAGCCTTAAAATCCTCTCAGGCCAGATTCCAGGCACAAAAAATAAAAAAGCCTGCATATGATTCCAGCCCACAGCCTTGAAGACATCTCAACCTTTTGAGTCTTCCCAACTGAGGCCCCAGACATCATAGAGATGAATGTACATGCTGAGTCCTGTCAGAATTCCTGATCTACAGAATCTGAGAGCATGATGAAAGTATTTGGTTTGTTTAAGACAAGGTCTCACTATTTTACCCAGGCTGGTCTCAAAAGATTCTCCTGTCTCAGCCTCTCAAGTAGCTGGGTCTACAGGCATGTACCACCATGCCCAGCAAAAATGTTGTTTTTGAATGCCACAAAGTTTAGGCAGAACAAAATTGTTAAATGACTAGCACTATAGAGAAATTGACTTTAACCACTGGTTAAGAATATTGATTGCCTTTACTGGTAAGATGAATAGCATTATAGGGGCTTAAAAGTCAATGAACTTGGAATATTCACGTAGCTGTTAAACATTTCTAGGAATGTTGTTCTCATTTTGTCAATAGAGCCATTCTTACATGAAAATTCAGATAGAGCTGTAGAAACAAATTATCCTGATCTTATGACTTAGTGTCCCACCAGTAAAAGTGTTCTTTGTCATGGGGTTTCATATTAATGTTTGATGATCATGGAGGATGTTCTATAGGATTCCCCATTGGGGAAGAGAAGGTTATTACTAGTGGCTATGTGCTCCCTTAACCTCACTTTAGAAGAGAGTGTAATGATATATTTCCTCTCTGTGGACTTTTGGGATAGGTGATACAGGACAGGGCCCAAGGTAGACAGCCCTGTTACAGTCCTCGCAAGAGAAATGCTTATGGGATTTAACAGAAAAATGAAGTGGCTAGTTATACTGCTGATGAATCTCTGTAGTAATTACATTAGGGTGGTAGATGGCCTTTGAACAAACCAACCATAAAATTGCTTTGAATATGCACAGTATTTGCTACCAAATTAATAATCATAACATGAAAATAATACAACATATAATACAGTTATTAGAGGACAGGTATTAAAGAAATTTTTATAGTAAAAGCATTCTGGATCAAAATTTAACTTATTATTGTATAAAATTTTGAACACATAAAGGAATTATCTTAGTCAATTTGTGCTGCTGTAACAAAATGCCATAGGCTGGGTAATTCATAAAGAACATAAATTCATTTCTTACAGTTCTGGAGGTCAGGAAGTTCCAGATCAAAGCACTAGACATTTCAGTGTCTGGTGAGGGCTGCTCTCTACTTCTACAATGGCTTCTGTTGCATGACCTGAGTTGGGTACAGGAAGGAACATTGTATCCTCAGATGGGGGAAATTAGAAAGGTGAGAGAGCTGTTCTGTTGTCTTACTTCATATATCAAAATTATTTATCTATACAGTCTAGGTCTTTTTCCATATTAGCTCATATTGTCCTTGGTTATAAAAAAAAGTGTCCATATTTGCCACCTAGATCTGTACGGCCATAAAAAATATATTGCCAACAAGACATGGGATAAAATTAATGTTATCAAAGAACATTCTGAGTAATCTGCTACTCAGTTTCAGATCGGCAGCTTTTTAAAAAAAATTTTTTTTAGTTGTTTATGGACCTTTATTTTATTCATTTATTTATATGTGGTGCTGAGAACCAAACCCAGTGCCTCACACATGCAAGGCAAGTGCTCTACCACTGAGCCACAAACCCAGCTCCCAGATTGGCAGCTTTTATTGTTCAATCTTACAATCTTCTTGTGTGTTACACATGACTATTAAAAACTTAGACCATAGTGTCTAGGAGTACTTACATGTATTTACATTATTTATTTAGTTACGTAATATCTAATGTTTCCTTTTCTTTTTGGTTGAGGAAATATAGATGTAGTTTGTTTATTTTGCCTTGACAAAGGAAGGAGGAAAAAATCACAAAGGTAGATTACTACTACATGATGTTAAACAAAAAAATTTTTAAAATATAGATTAAAGAATTAGAACTTTGCAGTATGAATTAAACATACAAATTGTTTAGACAACAAAATGCTTAACAGTGAAGATTATTCTTGCAATTTGACAATCCTTGTTTCTTGAGGTACTAACTGTTAAAAGGGGTGAAATGCTGTATTTTACTAACAATATATTGCCTTTATTATTTTTTTTCATTTTAAAATGAGAAAACAAAAATCATACAAGCATCCAACAACAAAAAAGGCCAAGATAGAGTTAATCAAAGTGCAGGTCTCCCAACAATGAAGTGTGAGAGCCTAGTAGGAAATAACAACAAAGATTTCTATGTAAAACTGTCAATGTTATTGTGCATCACATATGACAATAAATTCTAAAAGTATTTAGGTTCAGTTTGGAGATTTTTTGTGCTCTCCAGTAGGATAGAAGATCAAGAAGAGTCTGCATAATCAAATCCCTCTAGCCTCTAGTAGCCCAGAAGGAAGAGGTGGGCACAGTTACTGATGGGGTTAAGGAGGCCACTGGAAGTACAAAACAAATACACAGTGGTACCACCACTGCCACCATCACCACCACCACCAACGTAGCCATCATCATCACCACCACCACCATCACCATAACCACCACCATGATCACCACCACCATTACCATCACTATCACCACCATCAATGTGGCCATCACCTTCACCACTACCACCATCATCACCACCATCACTATAACCACCACCATTACCACCATCACCATCACCACCACTACCATCATCATCAACAACATCACTATCACCACTATCAATGCTGCCATCACCACCACCACAACAACCATTGCCATCACCAACATCACTACCACCATCACTGATCCTGAGTGTAGCCCCACTGACCTTCTCTACTCTGACCAAACACAAGAAATTGATTACTGCACCTTTAACTTAATACTTTTTTGAATGGACAAAATGTTCTCAGACAAAATATGTTCAGTTTTATGCAAAAGTGCTCTCCAGTGAAAGAAGTAAATAATGACAAAGGGAATGCGCTTTAGGTGAGGAATTGCCATGTGAGGCTACTATTTCCATAGCTATGAAATGATTCACATTCCCAAATCAGTCTTAAAGCTTCTTTCTTGGCAGCTGTTATTACTCTTATAATAGGTAGGGGAGTTATGGAAAGCATTTATCTTGATTCACCTTTCAAATGGTGTAAAGAAGAACGAGCGTGATTCAGCACACAGTGGGGACAATATATGGGTAAGTACCATAGGGCAAGCAATCAATCCACTTGACAGCACAGGAGTGACAACTCAAACTGTATCAGGCTCTGACTCAATCACTTTCTGCTTGAATCCTGACCCCAAGACCTCCAAGATGTGGAATTCTGAGCAGTTTAGTAAAGTGAGAGAGTCAGAACAACCTCCCTGAGAGGATTAAATGTGATTTTACATGTATACAACAGGTATGGATCTATCAAAGGACAAGATCGCAACTATTTAAAGGTCTTCATTGGATTTATTTTCTAGTTTAGAATGAAGTAACACATCATTCTATAAAACAAGGCATGGGAAGGGAGGGAGGGCAGGCCTTTTGTAATTTAACTTTGGAAATACCCTGGAGACATCCAATGACTGCAACCACCCACTCACCACCCAGGGATCTAGTGCTGTTTCTCCTGGTTTCCTTCCTACATTGAAACCAACTTCAAGGCCCAGAAGTCTTTACCAGGTGCTATGGTTTGGTGAGTGTTTCCAAAAGTCCATGTATTAAAATTTCATCCCTGGGGTGGTGGTATTGAGAGGTACTCTGGATCTTTTAGGAGGTTGTAGTTTCTTACGTCATTAGGGATATACTTCCTGGCTCAAGGTTTAAGGGTAACTCTGCCACATATTCCTGCCATGATGTGCCCTTCTTGCCAGTGCCCCAAAGCAGGGGCCACCCAATCTTGGTCTAGAACCTCGAGAACTATGAGTTAAAACAACCCTTTTCTCTTTATAAGTTAATTTCCTCAGATGTTTTGTTATAGTAATGTGAAGCTGCCTTATCAATCAAGCTCTTTTTCCCCCAACTGTCTAGAGAGTAATGTCATCTTTCCAGGGATAATATCAGAGGGCAGGTGTAGGATTCCTCTCTTCTCAGGAGCCACAGGTATCTCTCGATATCTTCAAATGTCACTTCCCACTTGTCTCTAGGAAGTTAAAATACTTTCATTGCCTTGAGAATTACTAAATATAAGGTAGGATGTTTCTGAGGGGAATAAGTTATACATCAACCATATATGTAACCATCTATCATATATGTAACATTTAAGTTCACAGTAGTGGTTTGGGCAGCATACCATAATCAAACACATTCTGCATAATCAAACATATTTCTGCAGTGAAATATATGAATATTTACCCTACATGAATAAATAAAGAGATAAATTGCCTTGCAATGCCCAAGTCAGGTTTGACCAACAAATAAACTTGCTGCAGTCTTATAAACTTTTGGTTTCAGGGTTTTTGGGATTTCATAAGCACCGGAAGAGATTGTGGATCAGTAATTGAAACTGAGTAAGTTAGACATAGATATGATATAACCCCACTACACTACAATAGAAACAAACAAAAAAAAAGGTGTTGCTAAGAAGGTCTGAAAATATTTTACAGAAGAGAAAGCCTGAAACAATGACTAGAGAATGTGTGAAATCTGCAATGATAAAAAAAAAGAAGAAAAGAGGCATCCTGTATGAGGAATAAAAACTTGATTACACTCAACATCATTTGTCATAAAGAAAGTGAAAACTTAAATAATGAGATAACACTATTTACCCATTAGAAAATCAAAATTGAAAAATCTGAAGATACAGTAGTCCCCTCTCTTATATAGGAATGGCACGTTCCATCCCTAGTAGATTTCTGAAACCACAAATGCTATCAAACCCTACATACACTGTTATTTCCTTTATTCACCATTGTGTTAGTCGAGTCCCAGAGTGAATCTGTCCTTCCATGTTTTATGCCTGGTATTTCATTTGCATCACCATTCTTGTGCTTCGGAGACATTAAGGGAAATAAGGGTCATTTGAACACAGCAGCACTTTAGTATTATGAGTCAATGTGGTAACCGAAGATTCCTATGTGACTGACAGGTGGTTAGCATATGCAGTGTGGATATGCTGGTCAAAAGGATGATCCACATCCCAAGCAGGATGGCATGAGAATTCTGCATGCTAAAAAATATGGCATGCAATTGAAAACTCGCCGTATTTCATGGCATAATCAGCACTACCACATTAATGTATCTCCACAAGTATTCTGTGTATCCTAATCATCTGTCTTTGCACCAAAGACAGTTCAGTAATAAATTATTTTTAAGTAATATTAGCACAATTTAAAAAATTCAAATAATGGTTGCACTACACCTTTTTATTAGTTCATTTTATATATAATATTGGGGTTCATTTTTCCAAAACTGTACAAGCATGGAATATAATTTGCCTCAATTCAGTCCCTAGTACTTCCTCATTCTCTCCCCTCTCCTGCCTCCACTCATTTCCCTTTCTCTAGTCTACTGATTTTTTTCCTATTTGTTCATAGGATTTTTTTAGTGCATTATGGATATACATAAAGATGAAACTCACTATGGTATATTCATTCATATATGTGCATCGGAAAGTTAGGTGAGATTCATTTTACTGTTCCTCCCTTTTCCCATCCCTCTTCCCTCCCCCTCAATTTCCTTCCTCTAATCCACTCATCTCTCTTCTACTTTCATGAAAATATCCCCACACATCTTTCTTTCTTCCTTCCTTTCTTTCTTTTCCTAATGTTGGTCTCACTTCAACATAAGAGAGAAAACATTTGACCCTTGACTTTCTGGATCTGGCTAATTTCACTTGGCATGATAGTCTCCAGTTCCATCCATTTAGCAGCAAATGCCATAATGTCATTCATCTTTATGGCTGAGAAATATACCATTGTGTATATATGCCACATTTTCTTTATCTATTCATCTGTTTATGGGCACCTAGGCTGGATCCATATTTCAGCTAGTGTGAACTGTGCAGTTATAAATATTGATGTGACTGCATCCCCATAGTATGCTGACTTTACATCTTTTGTATATTAACCCAAGGAATGGGATAGTTGGATCATGTGATTCCATTCCTAGTTTTTTGAGGAATCTCTATACTGCTCCAGAGCAGTTATACCAATTTTCAGTCCCTCCAAAAGTGTATGAGTGTACTTTCCCCCACATACATCCTTGCCAACATTTATTATTTATATTCTTGACAATTGCCATTCTGACTGGAGTGAGGTGAAATTTCAGCGTAGTTTTGATTTGCATTTCCCTAATTATTAGATATATGGAACATTTTTTTCATATATTTATTGGCCATTTATGTTTCTTCTTTCTTTTTTATTTACTGATTGATTGATTGCATTTCTTCTTTCAAGAAGAATCTCTTTAGTTCTTTTGCCCATTTATTAACTGGATTATTTGTATTTTGGTATTTTGTTTGGTTTGGGCTTTTTTTTTTCCCTTGGTGCTAAGTTTTTTGAGGGTTTTTTTAAAAAATATATTCTAGATATGAATCCCTAACTGAGAAGCAGGTAGAAAAGATCATCTCCCATTCTGTAGACTCTCTCTTCAAGCTCATTACCTTTGCTGCGTAGAAGCTTTTTAATGTGAAGCCATGCCACATATTGATTCTTGGTTTTATTTCTTACACATTAGGCATCTTGTTAAGGCAGTCAGTGTCTGTGACAATATGTTGGGGTGCTGAGCCTATGTTTCCTTCTAGTAGTTCCAGAGTTTCTGGTCTTATTTCTAGGTCTTTGACTTTGAGATGACTTTTGGGTAGGGTGAGAGATAGGCATCAAGTTTCTTTAATCTACATATAGCTGTCTAGTTTTCCCAGAACCATTTGTTTAAAAAGGCAATATTTTCTCCAATGTATGTTTTTGGCACTTTTTTTGGGGTCAAGTATTAGATAACTGTATCTATATGCATTTGTCTCCATCTTCTACTCCATTCCAATGGTCTTCATTTCAGATTTGGTGCCAACACCATGCTATTTTTGTTACTATACCTCTGTAGTATAATTTGAGGTCTGGTATTGTGATATTCTAGCATCAATTCTTACTCAGGATTGCTTTGTATATTCTGGGTCTCTTATTTTCCAGATAAATTTTAGAACTGTTCTCTTTTTTTCTAGTTCTGTGAAGAACTTATTTTTTTGTTTGTTTTTAGTAAGAGGTATTGAACCCAAGGATATTTAATCACTGACCCAACCCCCAGTCCTTTTTATTTTTTGAGACAGGGTCTTGCTAATTTGCTGAGGCTGGCCTTGAACCTGACATCCTCCTGCCTCAGGCTCTCAACAAGCACCACCATGCCTGGATTCATTGGTATTTTGAAGGGGGGTCACATAGAATTTGTATAACACTTTTATTAGTATGTCATTTTGATAATATTAATTCTCCCTGTCCAAGAACATGGGAGTCTTTCCATCTTTGAAGGTCTTCTTCAGTTTCTTCAGTGTTTTCACTGTGGAGATCTTTCATCCCCTTGGTTAGATTTATTCCTAAGCATTTTTTGAAGCTACTGTGAATGAGATAGTTTTCCTAATACCTTTTTCAACAGACTCATTATTGGAGTGTAGGAAAGCGATTGATTTACCTATATTGATCCTGCTACTTTGCTAAATTTGTTTAGCAGATCTAGAATTCTTCTGGTAAAGTTTTTTGAATATTCTAGACATAGGATCATATTATCAGCAAACAGATAATTTGACTTCTTCTTTTTCCTATTTGTATCCTTTTCATTTCCTTCTTGTATCTGGTTGCTCTGGCAAGAGTTTCAAGGAATATGTTGCATAAGAGTGGTAAGAGTCACATGCCACTTTAACAAAATTTGGCATAAAGTCTGCAACAATTATTCAGTGGAATATGATATGAATTGTTTTTGTCTGGAATTTTCGATGTAATATTTTCCAACCACTGAGTAACTGAAATCAAGAAAATCAAAACTGTGGATGGGGTGGAGAAGCATACTGTACCAAATTTTGGCAAGAACAAGAGCACCAGGAACCCTCATATGTTGACAATGGCAATGTATAATTGCAGAAGCACTTTGGAAGATATTTTGGCAGTTTCTTACAAATATAACAGTCCTACAATTTTATAACTGTGTTCCTAGAAACTGATTTTAAAACTATAGCCATACAAAATCAAGCATGTGAATATTTATATTAGCTTTATTCATAATTCCTCCCAAACTGAAAAAACCAAGGTATCCTTTAATACGAGAGTGGATAAACAAGTGTTTCAGTCATACAGTGGAACCCTACTGAGCAATAAAAAAAGAATGTGCTATCAAGCCAAATAAAGACATGGATGAATCTTAAATGTATAATTCTAAGTTAAAGTACCTAATCTAAAATGGCTACATATGGTATGATTCCATTTATATGAAATTTTGGAAAAGGTAAAACTACAAGATCATATAATCAGGTCAGTGGATGCCAGAGCTTCAGGGTGAGGAAGGGTTGAACCAGTGAAGTACAGGCTCTTCAGAGCAGTGAAGCTATTTGGTATGATACTATAATATTGGATCTATGATACCAAGCATTTGTCCAAACTCAAAGAGCTTTTTAACAGAGTCAACACTAATATATGCTATTTTTTAATATAAGAGGGGAGAGAATAGAATGCAAAATATGATCAAAGAATTGAACGATATTACAAATATATGCATAACATCATTGAGGAGGATGGGAGGAAAGTGCTTATCTCTGAAAGCATTGAGCCTCAAGATGTAAAACAATATTAATTCTGGTTGATAAAGTGAGGTATGGATCAACAATTCTGAACTACTATCTGAACAATTAAGTGACAAGATGGCAGATTTTGGGAACTAGATTTCTCAGTGCTGGAGTTACAAACAGGAACGAAGCAAAGGCTAAGGAGGTCAGTGTGGTAACGAATTAGAGTTGAAGGCATCAAGATAAACTCATTTATATTAATACAGATAGAGATGGTCACACATAGAAATATTTATGGATAAATGTATATATACTGGTTACTGCACCGACATATATTTACTTGTTCTGTCAGCTGAGAGAGCCTAGAAGCAGACACTACCAAGGCAATGAACACATCTACTACCAGGAATTGCTTTCTAATACCATTCTCCAATAAAGGAACCAAGACTCCCTGGAGAATTGACTGATTTTAAGGCTAGGGCATAATATATAAAGATATGCCCAAAATATCTTGTGTGTTAAAAAGTAAGGAAGTGTGGGTATGTCAAAGTAACATACAAGCCATCATAAAAATTTCCTAATGGCTAAAGCTGGAAGAATTTGAGCAACAGAATAAAGTAGTATTGGATTATAATCCAAAGTACAAAACAGATTTTCATGAGTCCATACAAATACAATGAAAAGATTGGATGAGTAAATGAATGGGTGGATGAATAAATAAACAAATAAATGGGAGAGAAAAGGCAATTCCCTCATGCAGAAGAATTCCAAATAATTTATGTAGATACTTGTGACCTTAAAAGGTATCCTTAAGTTTAATGAGCAAGAGTGACTTCTTTCCAGAGAGTATAGTAAAAAACAGAGGAAAAAGTGTGATATTGACTCAGCCAGGATATCCAAGTCAAAATCACCAGTGAAAAGTCATATTGACCATATACATGTACCATTGGTATGATGTGGAAGGAAAAGAATGACATTTTACCTCTACTGTCTTCCTCCTAAAGCCTGATAACTCCAATCTAACCATGAGGAAAACATCAGACTAATTTCAGTTCAGAGACATTTTATAAAATACCTGATGAGTCTTCCTCATAACTGTCGAGGTCATCACAAACAAAAAATCTGGCCTAGCATGTGTGAGTCCCTGGGTTCAATCACCAGCACTGCAAGAAAACAAAACAAAAACCAAACAGTCTGAGAAGGTATCACAGCCAAAAGGAGTATTCAGCTCTCCAAAGTTGTTGACAACTTTAATCACTAAATTTTGGAATGATTTGTTAGGTAAGCATAGATAAACTATGATAGCTTAATAAACAAAACAATACTAGTTATAGAAAGATAAAGGCTACACAAATAGTATACTAACTGAATGGAAAATTATGTGCTGAATATATCATTAATTTTAAAAACTATAGTTATGATTATATAATTAGAAATAAAGATAATTGGATATAAAGTATATTAAATATATAATAAATTATGTTACATATATTACATATAACATGTCAATTATATGCATGTGTGTATACACATTTTTTTCATTCAAAAATAATGATTGATCATTTGCTAATGCCAGGCACAGTGCCGGCCCTAAAGGATGTGTTCGATCACTTTTCCTTTTCAATATTTGAACAACTATATGTATTTCCCTCCAAAATAATGGCTCATTGTAATGGTGGAACCTCAGTTAGTAAAGTTACATCAGTTGCCTACTCAAACTTCATTTCTTACCTTCATCCCTACTAACAGACTCTGATTTTATCAGAGTTGTCAGTGTGCCCATCTAAATTACATTTCTCAGCTTCCCTTGTTGCCAGGGATGACCATGAGGCAACTTTGACCATAAAGACCTAAATGGAAATTGCTATATGGGCACCTGGGAAAGTCTTTCAGGAAACAGGTTTTTGTGTTTTGGTTTTGGTGCTGGGGATTGAATCCAGGGCCTTATGCATGCTAGGCAAGCACTCTACCGCTGAGCTATATCCCCACTTCAGGAAAGTCTTAAAGAAGGAAACAGACCTAGACTCTGATTTAGTACCCTAGAACTAGGCATCTGAAGGCACATTCTTTCCCTGTGGCATATATGCAGACTTTCTTTGCACTGCTGCCCCTTCTCAGAGGCTTTGCTATATAGCATGATGGTTTAGAACAACAACCAATGGCTTCCCACAAAGACCCATAATTAAATGGTAACAGGGAACCTGAAGTTCCATATGAGGGATTCTTCTCCAGAGCATTTCATAGCAAAACTGATTATGTTACTCTTCCAATAAAAACTTTCAGGGATAGCTGGGGTTGTAGCTCAGTGGTAGGGCGCTTGTCTCAGACCTGTGAGGAACCGGGCTCAATTCTCAGCACCACATAAAAATAAATAAATAAAATAAAGATATTGTATTTATCTACAACTACAAAATATTAAAAAAAAAAAACTTTCAGAGACTCCTAACGAACATTCTTAATGTTGTAGCAAGCAAAACAAATTATTTCACTTTAGGAAAATAGATAACTGCAAATCTGTAATAAGCTTTTCACTTGGCAGTATGTATGTCATTCTAGTTTTTGTTGTTGTTGTTGTTGTGGTTTAGACCTTTATTTTATTTGTTTATTTTAATGTGGTTCCCGGGATCAAACCCAGTGTCAAATGTATGCTAGGCAAGTGCGGAACCACTGAGAAACAACCCCGGCCCACCATTCTAGTTTTTATTAAATTTTTATGTAGGCCTTTTTCTAGAAGTAAACTATTTCTTCTCTTCTTTTTTGCATACTAGGGTATGGAACCCAGGGGCTCTTTACCATTGAGTTACATCCCTAGCCCTTTTTGAGACAGGGTCTCACAAAGTTGTCCCTGCTGGCCTTGAACTTGCATTTCTCCTACTTCACCTCCTGAGTGGCTGGGATTATGGGTGTGCACCAACTCGGTTGGCTTTCTGTAAACTTCTTAAGGGCAGAGACACATGAGGGACATTTTAAAGTTTCTCATAACACTTAGATGCAGCACATAGTCTAAGTGGTGGCTGGTCACTGGAAAATGATTATGTTAATTCTGTCACTTTGATTCCTAGCTTAGAATTGAAAATTGCATCTGTATAGAATGTTATACACAATTTCTAAAAACTGGAAAATTTCAAATATATACAAAAGTAAAGAGTATAATAAACTCCTTTAAATTCACGACTCAACTTCAATATTTATCAATACCTTCCTTTCTTCTTACCAGAACATTTTAAAGTAAAATTGGACAATCTATCATGCAAATTCATACATACATACTTAAGTGTCTCTCTCTAATGGATGAGGACTTTTAAAAAATATTTGTAATACTATCATACCCAATATTAATAATTTCTTAATATCTTCTAATACCTAGGTCATGTTTGGCTAGATCTATTACACACACAAACACACACAAAATGCCTTTTTATGATTGATTTGTTCAAATAAACATTAAAATTATATTTGTTGGGCATGTCTTCCCTTCTCGACTCCCTATCTTGAGAGAGGGTATTTTTATGTTGTCTAGGTTGTCCTCAAACTCACAATTCTCTCACCTTAGTTCTCCCAAGTTGTTGGGATTACAGGCATGCACCATCAACACAGGGTTTTAAATCATTTTTTAAAAAAAATTTATTGATTCTTTTTAGTTATACATGACGATAGAATTTATTTTGACATAATAATAAATGCATGGAATATAATTTGTTCTAATTCAGTCCCCAGTACTTCCCCTCCTTTTTCCTCCTGCTTCCTTCCCTGCTCCATTCCCTCTGCTCTACTGATTGTTCTGCTATCTAATTATAGCCTTTAAAAAAAATCTATGAAAATTCCCTTCTCCTGGCTTTTTAAAATTTTTGTTTATTTTTTAGTGGTACTGGGAATCAAACCCAGGGCCTTGCACTTGCTAAGCAGGTGCTCCACTGCCGCAGTCTGGCTGGGCACAATCAGGAGCCACTTGTCAAAAGAAACTAACTTTATTTTTAGAACCACACACGACAAACAAAACAGCCTCTCAGGAAAAACCTTCAGAGCCTCAACTGCCACCACCGGCTTTCCACAAGCCTCTCTCTCCCACACAAGCTTCTCTCCACCTCCCACAATCCTCCTGCTCTTGAGGCCGATTGGCTGGGTCACGTGGGCGGAGCCAAAAAAGTCCCCCAATGAGCAGCTCCGTGGTCTGAAAGGGCAGGGAAACAGTCCAATGAGCATCACCGCAGAGGAGCCAATCAGCTAGATGTTGCTGGGGCCGAGGAGCCAATCAGCTAGATGTTGCTGGGGCTGCTGTGAGCCAATCATCAGCCGGCAGCTGGAAGTTTGCTGGCAGCTGGAAGTTTGCTGGGGCCCCTTAGGCTGTGGCTCTCAACATCTCCCCCTCTCTGTTTAAACAACAAGCATGTGGCTTAGGGACCGTGCCTGTTAGGCAGTCCAATTCAACATATGGTCCTTACCCGTCATCGGATGAACTGACCTCTAGGCGTCAGCCTCCTGTCTTAGGTTGGTACCACTGCAATTGGATCATACCCGTCACTGACTACCGGTCCAGCATACAGCCATACTTGTGGATAGGCCTTTGCACCTGTGGGGGGGGTGAGGTTCTTTGCCTCACCTCTGTTGGCCCCCAAATTTTAGACCATCACTAGTAGAGGAGGATGCAAAATGCCATGACATTAAGCCAATTGAGGGCTCCTTTGAAAAATTGTACCACCGGTGACACCATCAGCAAAAATACTCCAGCACTACCACAATTCGCTGTACCAACAGATAGTTCACAATGCATACAGGTGAGCTCACAATGTGTCCAGGCAAGTTCTGCAAGCAGTTCAGTGATGGCTATTGTAGAAGCTGTAGATTGGTTTTATCTTTCACTTCACCAGCACTGGGATGAAGATAGGAATTCTGGCAATAATGGCTAAAGAAAAAATTATGTAACATTCCAGAAGGCACTAAAAGAAAACAATTTTCTTAACAATTTACATTGTCTTCACCGGCACTGGGATGAAGATAGGAATTCTGGCAATAATGGCTAAAGAAAAAATTATGTAACATTACAGAAGGCACTAAAAGAAAACAATTTTCTTAACAATTTACATTATCTTTAAGAGAATTATTAAATATAATGAAAAGGAAAGGTGAAAGTAAACAAACAGATCTGTTAACCTTCTTTTTTGTTTACATATTAAAACAATCCTCAACAGTTGTTTACCCAATTTAAATTAAACCATATAAATCACGTGAAAAAAAATATTTGGATCCATTTTATCATGAGCGCTCATCATATATGATATATGGACATACGTACATTCAAACATATAACACAAAACACAAGTGTGCACACATAATATAATACATAAAACACATAACATTATAGTAAAGGCCTTATAACTTTTTACAGGTGAAATCTCCATTGCAATGCTTAAAAACTCTATAGTCAAAAAATAGAACTGATCAGCAAAACATTAACCTAGGTCTGTATGAGCTCAAAAAACAAAATAGAACTTCATGATATGGCAAAGGGCAATAATAAAATAGATATTGAAAAAAGCATCCTGGTTCTGTTGCAGATGTAAGAATAGCCAAACTGGAGTTTTGGATATCAGTTGTTATGGATTTGAGCCAAATCATCTTCTTTTTGGTCTGTAGAAATCGCTTTAGTTAATCTTTCTGGAATCCAAATCGGCTGCTGTTCTCCCTGTGGAAACACATAAACAGACCCCCGACTCCAGACAATCACTGGGTCAGAACCTTGGTTAATCTCTCTGGAATCCAAATCGGCTGCTGTTCTCCCTGTGGAAACACACAAACAGACCCCTGACTCCAGACAATTACTGGGTCAGGACCTTTCCATTGTCCTGTTAGAATATCCTTCCAAAGTACCTTGGGCTTATGTACATTTTTTGGACACATATGCCTTTCCGCAGCACTAAGTCCTGATGAATCCAAATTTAAAAAGTTTAGAGTAAAAAGGGTTATTTTAAGTTTATCTTTGGGGAATATATACCCCTTCCCAATTCCTTCTTTTTGCTTTAATAAGTACATTTTAATAGTTTGATGAGCTCTTTCAACTATGCCTTGTCCCTGTGGATTGTATGGGATTCCTGTTATATGAGTAATGCCAAATGTTGAGCAAAATTGTTTAAAAGAGGTAGAAGTATAACCAGGGGCATTATCTGTTTTTAACTGTTTTGGAACACCCACAGTGGCAAAATTTTGTAAGCAATGAGCTATAACATCTTTAGTTTTTTCTCCGGCATGAAGGGAGCCCATCAAAAATCCAGAAGAAGTATCAAC